GCTACTGACCTAACCTCCACGAGCAAGGACAACGAGGCGAAGAAGGAGGACGTCTTCCTTTATCAGGAGACCAACTCTGGGCCTTTGTCAGCGACTGGAACTCTCGCCTGCGGAGTGTTCCTGCGAACTATATTCGAGCACTCGTTGGATACGCCGGATATCCAGTACACCTTCGACGCCAGCAACGAGATGGACTACCTCCTCGACCCTGCAGAGTACGTTGAAACAGCAGTGGAACCTCTGGCCTACTACGACGCCCTCAACATCAGGCCTATCCTGCTTTCACCCAAGAGTCGTGGATTCTTGGTTTTAAACGACACCGACCCCTTGTGGGGCTCACCATTGATCTATCCTAGATATTTCACCGCTTATCCCGATGCTGATGTCCTTGTGGAGGGAGTACTAGCTGCACTGGAGTTGTTTCGTACGAGGTCTTTTCGAGAACATGGACTGCGTTTGGTGGACGCGCCTCTGCCTGCTTGCAGACAGTTCGGTTTCGCGACCAGGGACTATTGGAAGTGCGTGATGATGGAGTACACCGCCACGATCTTTCACCCGGTCGGGACTTGCAAAATGGGGCCCAAGTGGGATAAGGAGGCTGTCGTGGATCCGAGACTGAGGGTTTACGGGGTGAAGGGACTTAGGGTGGTGGACGCATCCGTGATGCCGAAGATTGTCAGGGGTAATACTAATGCGCCTACTATCATGATCGCGGAGAAGGCTGGCGACATGATCAAAGAGGAGTGGTTGTACGAATGAGGGTTGAGCGAAGTTTTCTAGAAAGACTGATTATTAGGAATCTCGGAGTTTATGCTGGACAGTATGTGGGAAGCATGCCACGTGGTTCAACAAGGATGTTTTATATTCATCGACGACAGACAATGTTTTCTATCTAACTAGGACATCTTCAAGTACGATCGAAATTATGTTAACCTATAGGACTGAATACAGATGTGGTGTAATGAATGCAAACTGAAATTTGAGAAAAGTAAAGTGGTACGAGAGACATAGATTTAGTAAAGTTATTTCATTGCGTGAATTGGGAGACGTTGAAGGATATATTTATTTAAAAAATAACTAAATTTTATTTCTTAACATTTTCGAAAGTTTCAACCAATTTTAGATATGCATTGCAGGATCGTTTATACGCCACACAATAGTAATAGACTCATAGACTCAACAAAGACTCATTTTTTCAATAAGACATACTTGAACAAAAAATAATGTACTGTACAAAGACTGAAAAAGTGAAAAATTCACATCGATATGCACTCACTGACACAATGAAACATCTATTTCTAATAATCGAATTTTTGAAATCTCTGAGAACTATTCTACGAGAAATAATCAATTCCAAGTTCTTTACCTTTTATTCGATATCTGAAAGGGCCTAGCCGATTAGGATGGTCAAAACTGCCCTTAGAGCTTTTTCGATAGCTCTTGAATTATTCGAAAGCTGACCAACAAAAACGTCGACAAAATTCAGTTTTTATTGTTTTTGACAATGAAGCAGCCGAACAAAAAAATTTTTTAAAATTGACGACACTGCCTGTTATAGTACTTTATCAGGGAACCAAACAGTAGAATTGCATGTCTTCATATTTTTGAGAAAAAAATGTTTTTCAGATGTTTTTGAGGTTTTCCATTTTTGACGACCACAGTTTACAATCAAAAAATCTGAAAAAATTCTCAAAAATGCGCCTTAGGATCCGGAATATGTCAGATTTTTTTCAGAATTTTAGAACGCATTTGAGACCGGAAAATGCGTCGGAAAGCGTAAAATCTATTTTATCCTGTAACTACCCTTACGGGCAAGCTAGAGGGTTAAAATTTTACTCAGAAGGGTTTTTCTTGGTCAGCTTTCGAATGATTCAAGAGCTATTGAAAAAGCTCTGTTGAATTATAAACATATAATTTGACTTCAACAAAAATGAATCTAGCGTTGAGAGACACTGCCCTTTTCTCTGTAAGTTAGAGTATCGGACTGGCACCACCAGGTCTGAAGACCCTTGACTGTTTGTCGTCGAAGGCCAGGGTAATAAACAGAGCGCAGGCAGAATTTTCTTTCTTTAAGTGGACGCTAGATTTCTCTTTCACGTAGGCCTGATTTTTCAGTTTAGTTCTCGTCCGTTTTTTGAACAGTAAACGTGTACTTCCGAGCCGTTTGAATAAACGTAGAATTCAAACTTATTAAAAAGACTCATTTATTACACCCATAATCCAATAAGCTCTGAGGGCAGTTTTGACCATCTTAATCGGCTAGGTCCTTTGTATCTAGATAAGAACGAAGCCCTTCTGGTGCACGGTATAGATATATGGCCTTTGGATAAGCACCAACGTAACGAATTAGGATCGGAGACTTTCACTGGTAGGGGGTCTTACTCAATTTTTCGAATTACGCGCGTTTCCACGACAGGCGGACGCGATATTATGGAATTGGAGTGAAAAGGTAAGCCGCGAGCGGACGGTTTCAAAATCGCCTGGGCGAAAGTGAAATTTTTCTATCGGATGAGTAATGCGAATGCGACGACGGAGATGGAACAAGGGATATTCAAATAGGAAGACACGGAGAAAGCAGCCAGCGTCTCGCGTGGCTACGAAATCCTAATTGTAGTTTGCAATTCGTGAATTTCGAGCGAACAATGACACGTACACGAATGGAAAAAAATAGTTGAGTTACGCAATTGCTGAATTTAAATTTTATGTCCATGTCAACGTGGAATGTATTCGCATGGAGTGTGAATAAATTATATGCTCGATGGTTGTATACGAATCGAATGGAATGTTTATTATTACATGTTTATATCGTGATTGTCAACTCCGATTGCTTTTCTACATATTCTCTACACTTATCTTGATTTGTATAGTTTATATGATTTGCTCCAATAGAGATACATAATTATTTTTGGTATTTTATACACACACTCGATGTGTGATAGATTTTAGATATTCCCTACGTTTTTTTTTTTTTTACATCTACTCAGTTTATTTCTTTTTTTCTGAATAAAGATATACGATTAGTATTGTCATTTTATACACACACTTGAAATGTAATAAATTTTAGATTGTAATTAATATATCTTGATACATTAACGTTATACTGATATCAAAATGTTTTAGTCACTTTTGCAAGTAACGATTGTTTAATAATTACGTCGATGTTGGGACATCTAATGTAGCATCTTTAAACGCAAGGATGATAGACAAAAAATTGACGCTGTTAGTAATGTGCACTATCGTACCGTTTAGAATCTATGTCAATTGCAAACGTGACATTTCTATCTTACATTTACCTCAATTACCTAACTGTTACATATAAATTACTAATCATTGCCTACATTCATCTATCTCAAATTGCATAAAAACTGTGCCAATTAGACATAATGTATTAGAAGCAAAGTTCGCAATTAATCCTATCAGATTAGCACAATTTCGCGTCACTTATTCGCATTACACGGTAATCACTCATCCTAGAGAAGAGAGTTTTTCGTGTTTCAACACTCGAGACCATTAAATCTATAAATAAACGTCGAAAACGAAGACAAACTCTCGTCCTGTCCTCTACATTCAACTACCTACGATTCCAGTTTTCTCATAGACGGAAAAAAACATTTTATCTGGGAACCTAACCAAAGAGATCCGCCCGAAATCATGTCTTCGAGAACTTGTTATTATGATTCGTCTCCTCAATCGAGAAACTTAATATGGAAATCCCTGAATCATCATTTCAATACGCATCCGGATGATACCGATGCCGAAATTGGAGAATCGCACGTACATTACGAATTAAGTACTGTAAGTTATTACACATGGAAGGTAATACCGTAATGCCAAACTCGATTTTAAAATTTGAAATATCGTTATGACTGTAAACCAGTTTCTGGAAAATCAGGCGAAGAATTTGTGTTCCTTTAAATCATCAATATTCTTGGAACTAAAAACTTTACTAAATTATTTAGCAAAACAGGACCGAACGTGAAAATGTATTTCTCGTGTTTCTATAACGAGGCCCAGAACATTCATCTTGTTTTGGGGTCCACGAAGGTATAATGCGCCACTGATTATACCATTGCGCTTTGCGTAAAATTTTGCACCGTCACTCCTGTCCCACTTATTCCGTGGCAAATCTCGTTTCCTCCCATCGCGATGGACAATGAACGATTTCGTGGACCAGACCACGTATACCGCGACGACCGCAGGATCGTCAGAATTTAACTCGTCAGCGAAAGAGAAAATTAGGATCACCTTCAACATCCGAGCCACAGCGTGAGTGTTTGCGAAATGAACAATTGGTAAAAAAATGAATCGTTGCCTCATAATTACTTTTAACGAGCCAAAAGAAAAAAAAGAATCGAAGCGATCTAGCTACTTTAGACTGATACTCCCGGGACGTTATGAAAGGATTCTAATCGAGATTACTTTTTTGTGTACGCTTCGATTAAGTCGTAGTGAGAAGATTCGGAGACTTATAAAAGGATTCGAAAATATATTTTTACGAGAGGTTGGATTCTTTCGTGGTTGTAACTATAGATTTTAGAAAATTGATTGAAAAGTATACCGTTATAGTTTTTCGATTCTGGACTTCAGGATTTTGGTTTTTAATGAAACATACTTTGCTCTATGGAAAATCCACTTCTAAACAAATAAAATTTGAAGAAGCTGATTCTAATCACTAACTCTAATACAAATGGATTCGAAAATATACTCTTATAAAGAGTTTTTCCAAAAGGTCTTCAGGATTTTGTTCTTAAGTAAATCACATTAAGTTTAACAAAAATCCTTTTATATTTTACACATTCAGAGCAAACGAGGCTTCTAGATTCGACCTTAGTCCTAACCACCAATTCTCTTGCAATAAATAGATTAAAAAATAAACTCCTACAAACACTTTTCCAAAATCCTTTACGTCACTCCACCCAAACAAACAATTCTTCGAGATACAGCCTTTCCGACCACGAGTTTTAATAAACAAAGCATCCAGAGATACTTCATCAGAAATTAAGACTTACGACACACCCTACGAGGGAGAAAAACGAATGCAGCTAACGAGTGAAATGCCAACAAGATGCCAACGGGGCACGAAAAATGCCCCCTATCTCTGGTCACGACCGCGTTCTGAGGGTCAAATATGCAAGTACGACAGGGAGCCGTTTCAGCATGCCAAGGTGGTGGTACTACCGTAAGCTTTATACGAAGAACGTAGTGTTCGAAGACTCAGTCTTTCGCTTTCTCTGCGTCCGCGAGCTCCTCGATCGGCCTCTAGATCCACGTGGTTATCGAGCGTGGTCCACAGGTGCGGTGCCTTTTCGGGAACGTTGGGAAATCATCATCACAGTACGATTTTGTCGCGCATGGAAAATTCAAATACCATGTAACATCGTAGAAACGGTGCTTTGACTCTCGTGTTTATTAAACCTGACGTTCGCTGTATTAGTGTATAGACACTATAGAGTCAATGAAGAAACACATGTAGAGAGTACTCGCTCGCCTCTGGTAAATACTTGGACGCTTTGTGTACACGAATTTTAGAGCAAGACGTTGTGTACGAAAGATTCTTCTACGCGTTGAGTATATATAAACACGGTAATTGGTGTTCACTGCGCGGGGTCACCTGATCGATCGCGCGTTTATACGCGTCGATCGTTCGTGGACGATTAAGGGGTGATTCTATTTATAATATAAGACGAAAATCAAGTACCTGTAATAAAATTGCGTTCATACTTCATCTAACTACAGTGGGTGTAGAAAGTATTCGTACACCGATCAATTTCCAAAAAAACTGTGTAAAATTGTAATTTATTAACTTATTGTTTTATAAACAATGACATTCTACATATTCTCGGAAATCTCTAGAATAGATGGAGTAGAAAGAAAAATAGCTATTTATGTAAGTTGCGAAATTAACAATAAAAAAGAATTAATCGATAGAAATATTGAAGCAATAAGTATTCGCACGGAGCAATAAACTAATGTGTTTACGTTACAAACTCTGCTGTAAATGGTTCGTCATAAGAATCGTACAAATACTTATTGCTTCTATACTTTTACCCGCTTTTCGCATTTTTTTTGGTAATTTCATAAATTATATTAACTAGTAAATGTTGTTTGGACTATATCTATCTTAGAGACTTCCGAGAATATGTAAAATATCATTGATTATAAAAAAGGAAGTTAAGAAAGTACAATTTCACAGAAAAGTCTTTTGGAAAATTGATCGGTGTACGAATACATTCTACGCCCACTGTATTTACGAATAGTTTACAACGCGAACAAAAATGTTCTATATGGAAAATTCTTTATTGATTTTATTTCATTAACTTTCTATTAATTTTTCTTATGTAGAAAATTCATCATTAGTTTTATTTCAATAATTTTGCATTAATTCTTCATACGTAGACTATTCTTTATTAATTTTACTTCATTAATTTTTTATTATGTCTTCTTATGTAGACTATCCTTTATTGGTTTCATTTCATTGATTTTCTATTCATTCTTCTTATGTAGAAAAGAATGTTTCACATTGGTATATGTTAATCTAGACTGACATTCTTGTACACTGTTAGATGAGGTACATCAAAAGTAAAAATTTTATATTAACTTGAATATGCACAGTCTATTATACACAGTATCCTAAAAATTCGCGTATAATCTAGCGTAACAAAGTGAATATAAAAAAAATCACTTCGCAACACATTCATGCATACAGTCCTGCGGCCAACACAAATCTTTACGCATTGAAATTTACGACTGTACAGTGAAATCTTGAAGAAAGTTTAAAACTCAAAAATCAACAATGCCCTCGAAGACGACGACAATTCAAATACAACCACGTTACACCCTTAGCCTTTCGAATTCTAGCCCTTCTAGCCCTTCGTCGTCTAGCCCTTCGCCGTCTAGCCCGCCGTCCACGTTTAAATAATTTTCACTGCGCTAAATTGAGTATCGTAGATGACGCGACACGCAAAAAAAAAAAAAAAAGAAAGTATGTCGCAATTTCGTCCAAAAAAGTTCGATCGGCGACATGTCCGTTTTGAATGGCGATGTCACCGGACTGCACCGCAAAGAGAAACAGTAAAGAAAGTTATGCAAACGCGAGATTACTTCGAATCGTTCGGCGATGTACTTGTTGCTGGCTGCACGTTGTAAATGTAAATCGAGTCTGTGAGTCTGTGTTGTCTCGTGGCTCTTGAGCTATCATGGCCAAGAGGATGTGAAATAATTGAATAATTAGATCATGCTTGCCTTGGGTCTTACCTTGACACTGTAACGCGTACGCGCCGAGCCTGTTTTGTTTTTCTTTCTACTTTGTTCTTCCTACGTATACATCTCATTGCAATTTCTTTTTTCAAATGCGTTTTCTTTAGACAGTTGTCATTAAAGAGGGCATATTTCAATTTCTCAATAATTTTTATTCTTTCAGTTTTATTATGGATACATTTTTCTGTATTAAAATTTGCTATTATACTAGAATGGTTTTGTCCAGTTTTTATTTTATTTTATTATTATACAGCTAAAATATTTAGTAATTTTTTAGTCAGCTTTGAATTGCTACACCTTTCCAGAAACGAAATTCCTGTAAACATTTCTATTTCACTTAACGTGTTTCTACATTACTCAACAAATGTTGTCGAACCGTCTGCCGTAACAGGTGCAAAAAGAAGGCTCAGTGTTCTAAGCAGTGGGTGTTAACATGAGATTCGCGAACTTGCATGAGAAAATGTTGAACATTTATTTTCGTTGCGTATATTGCATCTAAATGTATCGATATTTAATTTGCACGCTTAAACATATTTACATATTGGAATATTTATTAGAAACAAACATATACATTTTTCGAATAATAATTTACTTGATATAACTTGATATTCAGTTACAATATTTTATAAGTTTCATGCGGGTTGAGTCTCCTCCAAATTGTCGAATTAAAATTTATCGAAAGTTCTCAAATTACAGAATTTTTCAAAGAAATTTAATACATGGTACCACTTAGCGAAAGACGTTGGTTTAACTAATATTTCAAAACGTTATTCCGAGAAGACTGAAGGAAAAAGGTTAAGAATCACTGCTAAGTCATCTGATCGAAGATAGATCAGAGCCGATTACAGAATTCGTAATGAATGTCTGTGTGTCCAAATAAAAACAAGTTTCGTAATTGGTCCGACGAGAAACCCTTTCGAAATTTCCTCAGGAATTCAATGTCAGACGCGTTCAACACTGATTAAAAAAGAAACGTCAGGTGGGAAATAAATTTTAATATTAGTAGCATTTGACATTCTCTTGCATCGTGTCGCTACTATTTCGCATGATTCATTCGGCAATGGGATAAATCACTGTTGCAAAGAATTCTTAGTATGTTTTTGTGAATATTTGAAAATGTCTACTGAATTTGTACATTGTATTAAAAACTACACCTACCATCCATTTATTAAATTTTAATTATATGCTAATGTTGATTATTCATAAATGAATCGATTTAGAACGTTGTTCAAACGTAATTGATACAATAGTTGGGACATTCTTTAATTGAAATATCGAAAAAAGATTATTGTTAGTAATTCAGACCAAAAAATGTATCGTTCAATCGATCCATCCGAGAATTATAAAAGATTTCACTGTCTCGTTGCAGGTTCCCTCAAGAAACCATTAAAGAAAGCGCCCGATGACTTGACTCGGTTAACTTCAGCTTGTTAAACTCTCTCCAACACCGAAGGCTTACAAATTCAACAGGTTTACCTCCCTTAATGACTTAGACAGAGATCATCGCGGCCACTGAAATTCGTCCATACGTTTCTCATCGTAATTCGAAGAGAATCTGGTAATAATGACTTCGCTCGATGCCACCGTACGGACACGCATATCTCGGCATGAAACCGCTCATGCGTTTAGATAACGTCGATTTCGTAATCAAAATCGTACATTCGAACTTTCAACTTCCGCGTCGTTAACAATGGCCATTAGACGGTTACCCAAACTGTGAATTCTTCCACGAAGAGAACAATTGAGTTTGCTTTCGAAAATGTTGTGGACTTGAGGGCACAATCTATGACACATGAAAAGTACACAATTTGTAACACAAAAGAAAACTAAATCCTCTGAAATTATATTTAAGAAAAAAAGGAGAATTGTAGCTTAAAAATTTTTAATATTTTTTACTAGATTAAAAGGGAACAGAAGATTCTGAATTTTGATTTCAAAACACAGAGGAATTGCTGCTAAAAAATTTGAAAAATTTCTACTCCAAAACGCTCCGAACCATATGAAAAGAGAACAAGAGTCTATAAAATTTTATTCAAAAAAAGAAAAATGAGCATTGCTGCTTAAAAATTCTGAACGTTTTTCTCCGAAAATGCTCCATACCTGAAGCCCCAATTTATCCCACATTACTCTCTTCGCAAAGGAAACAGAAGTCTTTGCAATTTGATTTCCAGACACAAAATAATTGCAAAATTGCCTAGAAACTTCTCGAGAATGCACGATTTACCCAACACCACATGAAAGGGAGACGAAAGTCTTGAAACTTTGATTTCAAACATTGCTTGAGACTTGGATAGAATTCGGAGAAAAGAAAAATGGGACTGGCGACTGCCGCCACGGTGGCTGCGAAGGGCGCCACGATTCTTCTGGGTAAAGTGGCCATTATTCCTATTCTGATAGCGGCGCTCGCCTACTTCAATTACGATCTAATGGATCCGGAAAATCACCCAAAAGTGACGAAGAATCTCAGGAAGGAGTACGATTTCGTGGTGATAGGTGGTGGATCGGCTGGAAGCGTGATTGTAAACAGGCTGACGGAAAATCCGGAATGGACCGTGTTGCTGCTGGAGGCTGGAGGTCATGAGACGGAGATAACAGACGTGCCGATATTGTCTCTTTATTTGCATAAGAGCAAACTGGACTGGAAGTACAGGACGCAGCCTCAAGACTCGGCCTGTCAGGCGATGGTCGATCGACGATGCTGCTGGACCAGGGGAAAGGTACAATTTTCTAATTAATACTTTCGAGTCCAGTAAACCTCCACTGGAGTACCTTATGTTCTGCTTAGATCAATTTTATTCAAAGTTATGACAAGAAATGGCTACGTGAAATAACATTTTAATAAAGTAATATTTTCGTAAATTTTTGATATTGGTATTACTAAATTTTTAATTAAGTATTAGATTGTCCCGAAAGTTTCTTTCGCGAGTTGCACTCAATTATTTTATGTGGTCGTGTTTCTATAAATAGACAATCTAATTTCATAGATATTCATATTGTAACAGTAATGGAGCAAAATGAATCGTGCACAATTCAGTAATGTAACATAAAACATCAAATATTGTGTATGTAATAATTATTAATAAAGCGAAAGAAACTTTTGGGACAACCTAATATTTTGATTACTTGTTAATGTATTTCAATGTTTATCCCTATTCCAATCATTTTTGTATTCTAATATTGTCAAAAAATCTGAACTTGCTAAAAGCCTTAATATTTGTTAAATATTATAAAATATATAGAAAATGATAGCGAAATTTTTTAAGAAAATAATAATACATTTTCGTTAAGCAAATAATATGCTCATAAATTGAGTTATAAATACCTTGCAGTGATAGATATAGTAGACAATTAGCATTTTGCTTTTTAATGCTACTAATGCCCCGTACCGACCGCCGTATAATTTATCATGCATTTGCATCAATTTACACTCGAATAGAAATCCGCTTCATTCGAAAGAAAAACGAATGAGAGGTAAAACTGAACACGTAAATGCCACATTATATGCAAAATATTGGAACACTCGTAAGTCCATCGTTGCTCCAAAATAAATCGCGTCGCCTTTTATAGATTTCATTAGTGATTCAGGCGTGTAGCAATGCAAGGAGAAATCGAAGCATGCACTCTATTAAAGTGCCATGATGTATTAATTAAAATCAAATTAAGATTGAATCGGTGAACTTGTGTGTTAACAAAAAAAAAAAATTTACATATATGAAGTTCAATACTTGTTTTGTAAAATCACGTTTTGTTTTTGATTGAAATTTGTATTTAAATTTTGAGAACAATTTTTTTAGTTTTGACTATGATAACCACCTCAAGACATTGTGATTGTTTGGCATAAACTAAATGTGTACCAGTTTCGATTTACATTAAAAATGGATCATTTTCGAAATTGGTTTTTTTTAACACAATTCATGGAATGTCAGGTGCTTGGAGGTTCGAGTGTGCTCAACACGATGCTTTATATTCGAGGAAATCGACGTGATTTCGACCAATGGGAGAGTTTTGGAAACACGGGCTGGGGCTACGAGGATGTCTTGCCTTACTTCAAAAAATCAGAGGACCAACGAAACCCGTACTTGGCTCGCAACAAATACCATAGCACAGGTAAGAATTTTCTTCGATGTTCGTGAACGTTTGCTAGGAACAGGCAATATTTTATTCGAATAATATCTAACAAATGAAACTAACATGCTAAAATATTTCATCCTATAAATGAAATACTAATTCTTATTTTTAATTAAAAATGAAAGGTTTCTTTAAAGAATCTTTTCCAAGCTCAAAAAATACCTCAAACGAAACTAATACTGCATTCAAAAAAAAAAGAAAAACAGTATTGACAGAGTTTTGTCAATATGTTCTCATTTTTCGTTAATAAAATTTCGGATGATGGGAATAAAACGTCTGGGTAAAGATTTAAACGGCTCCGTGCAGCAAGAAGTCGTACATGCGCGTGGAAACGAGGTCAAGTTGCAGCGCCTAAAGTGGATCAAACATCGACAAACCGGTTCACGATAAAACACATGACAGTAAAAAAAAAAGAAAAAGCGATTACGTTTACGATTATTCCAGCCATGACACAATCGAGTTTACATTTATGAACCTACAATTGGCGAAACAAAATATTAGTTATTATATCGAAGAAACAGTTTCATCTGTAAAAAAACTAGAATATGATCTTAAAATTCTACTTAGATTCCTTCAACTACACTTTGTACTTTTGCACCGATACTAAATTACTACATATAATAGTACATTCTGTCAGAAAAGTACCGAATTGGTTAATGAAACACAAAATATGTATTGTTCATCCAAATTTATTGTATCGCCTTCGAACTAGGCCCCTTCCGAAATAATACACTTACGCCAACGAATAATCCAATCATCAAGACATTTTTTAAACGCATTTTTTGGAATCGACTTTAGTACTCGCCGCGAATTCTCTTTTATGTCATCTATCGAATGGAAACGTGTGCCTCGAAGTGGCAATTTGATTTTTGGAAACAAAAGAAAGATGGCTGTTCGATAATGTTTGTTGAGTTTTTAGTTAGAAATTCGTTCAAAATGATAGCCTTGTGAGATGTTGCGTTATCGTGATGCAAAATCCAGGAGTTTTCTTTCCACAAATCTGGTCTTTTTCGACGAATTCGTTCTCTTAAACGCCGCATAACGCTTAAATAATATTCTTTGTTTACTGTCTCACCTTGTGGCAAGAATTCCGAGTGCACAACTCGGAACAACACACTACTACACAACGCACAACTAAATGACAAGTGACGATCAAACTCCGCATGAGTATAGAGGACAGTAGTGCCAATTTAGTGACAAAAGGAATTTCAACAATCCCTTTAAGTGGGCTTTTTAAATGATCGATTCCTGGTCCTTTCTTGACAGAATCTATAATGAGCCTCAAATTAACTATTACTGAACAGTCATCGAATCGCGAAAGTAGAACACACCCAACTCTGCACAGTGCAACTAAACCCCATTTTTGTCTCACTTTTATTCAAGGAGGCTATCTGACGGTTCAAGACGCCCCGTACAACACGCCAATAGGAGTAGCCTTTCTGCAAGCCGCCGAGGAAATGGGTTACGACCTGGTGGACGTGAACGGGCAGCAGCAGACCGGCTTCGCGTTTTATCAATACACGATGAGAAGAGGAGCTCGATGCAGCGCAGCGAAGGCATTCATCAGACCCATTCAGTTGCGCAAGAACTTCCACTTGTCCCTGTGGAGCCACGTCACCCGGATCCTCATAGATCCACGAACGAGAAGAGCCTACGGGGTGGAATTCATCAGGGAAGGTCGCAAGGAGGTCGTCTACGCCAAGAAGGAGGTGATCCTTTCCGCAGGCGCCATCAACTCGCCTCAACTGTTAATGCTCTCAGGAATAGGGCCGCGTCAACACCTTCAGGAAGTGGGAATTTCTGTGATCCACGACTCGCCAGGTGTCGGTCAGAACCTGCAGGACCACATAGCAGTTGGTGGCCTCGCATTTCTCATCGACCCCCAGATCAGCGTGGTGATGAACCGCCTGGTGAACATCAATTCAGCCCTACGCTACGCCATCACCGAGGACGGGCCTCTGACCTCCAACGTCGGCCTAGAAGCCGTTGGGTTCATCTCCACCAAGTACGCGAACCAATCCGACGACTGGCCGGACATAGAGTTCATGTTAACAGCCTCGTCGACCAACTCCGACGGAGGTACCCACGTGAAGAACGCTCACGGGCTAACGGACGAGTTCTACAACGAAGTCTTTGGCAAGATTAATAACCGAGACGTCTTCGGGGTGTTCCCTATGATGCTCAGGCCCAAGTCGCGCGGATTTATTAAGCTGAGATCGAGGAATCCTTTGGATTATCCTCTCCTGTACCATAACTACCTGACTCACCCCGATGACGTAAGGGTTCTGCGCGAGGGCGTCAAGGCCGCCATTGCCTACGGAGAAACTAGTAGCCTGAGGCGTTTCGGCGCCAGGTTCCACAACAAGCCTTTGCCTAATTGCAAACACCTGCCGATGTTTACGGATGAGTACTGGGAATGTGCCATTAGACAGTACACCATGACGATTTATCATATGAGCTGCACAGCGAAAATGGGACCTCCGACTGACCCCATGGCAGTGGTGGATCCCGAACTGAGGGTTTACGGAGTGGACGGATTGAGGGTGATCGACGCCTCGATCATGCCTACGATCACCAACGGGAATATCAACGCGCCCGTGATCATGATCGGGGAGAAAGGCGCGGATATGATTAAGAAACAGTGGCTGTCGCGACGGAAGAGGGACAACGGAACGATCGCTGGTTCTTGATACGTTGAATTCTTGCCGAGAAATCGGCCGTAGTTCGAATCGAGTCTGTTCGTTGTTTAGCCCTAGCGACGGGACAGCTTGGTCGCGGTGGCGAGTTTAGAGGAGAGGCTTTATGTTCGATACTAAAACTATCCAAGTTCGAGTCATGATTTGTGTGTACTGTTACATATTTGAGAATAGAGAGCGCTGGAGCATGTCAATTCTATTTCTGTAATTTTCATCATATACTGCAACGAAGATGTTGATGATTGGGTTGTCCGGAAAGTTCATGTCTATTTTTAAGAAAAATTCAAAGGCATATTTGAATTTTGATGTATATTTATTGAATTATATATGTACCATTTTGTTCCACAAACTTTCCGTCTGTTAAGGAATGTACACATGTTATTTGTTTTCAGCCATTCCGATATATTCAGACCTGTACCGCCTACTAAAAATCGGCATGGACTTTCCAGACAGCCCAATAGTTTTAAGTAAGGGCGCCGCTACAAAAACTAGGTAACAGTAGTTATCGAGACAAAATTTTGAAACTTTGTACTTTTACGTAGTTCTGAACGCTGAATTTAATGGTGTAAACAAAAAAAAAATGGTTAAACATGTTGAATTAATAGGATATTAATATAAGTAATTCTTTATATATTTAAGTTTAATTACGTAAAGAATAATTACACATGGTGTATACAAAATTTTCTTATTACTTAGGTCACCTTGTTACGTCTAGAGTGAGAGTCAAGAACCTACTAAAAACGTACTGACGCTTCACTTACCATGCTCGCATTGTACAGTAATGCTCAACCTGTACAATGACACTCCTTCATACTAAACTAAACTAAATTTACTCGATTCTTCACAAAACAGTTTCTTTGCGTTTTTGGAAAAAAAAAGTCAGATCGAAAAATGCCACAGCGTTCAGCATTCAAAATTACATAAAAATACAAAGCTTCAAAATTTGTTCTCAATAACTACCGGTAGCTTTTGTGGCAGTGTCCTACCTTAGAAAGAAGTATTGTTATATAGTTCTATTGTTAAGAAGTATTGTTAACTGTTATACGATCATCTGGAAGAAATGGTTTTCGAGGATAATGGAAATTCTTTGTTTCGTCTAGACGAGTGTTTCCTAACATTTTAATTACCAGCTAGGTAATTAGGAACAAGCTAGAAATTAGAAAAACATTGATACATTAGTGTATGGTAATCTAGCCTGACATTAATGTTTTACATGACTTATCTGTCTCATCTGATTGACTACTCTCTTGGTAGATAAAGTATTAACTTGAAATTTCCAACTAAACTTTGTTTTATCTGTGGAAAGAGGAATTATTTCTTGGACATTTATGTTGTTAATATTAGATATTAAATTTCTACTACTAAGAAATAATTTCTTTGTTGAAAGATTAGATAAAGCGCAACGAATTACGAAGAAATAGATCGATTCGTTGCTGTGAGCCTATATAACCGGTGGTAATAATAACATCGACTGAGATTTGTTTTATGTTCGCATTCAAACGAGTTAAATTGCGGTCTTGCGACAACGCTGCACAAAAAATACTGTCCAACAAAATCGAAGGAAATCTGCAAGTGTCTCGCGTTTATTGCATTCACTGCTGAGCAGGTAGATGAAAGAAAAACCTGGAGATTAAGCAGGCGACGAACTCGTTTGAAACTCTTAAAATTCTCGTCTTACCACATAATCGATACGCAACATTGCTACACACTAGCGGGCTTACATAGGGCTGACCTATATTCCGATTAGCAAGAAAAACCAGAACGAAATCGGTGTAATTAATGGTCACCGTTTATACAAAGCGTCTGCGTGTAGTGAAATCATTAATAAGACAAACTACATCGCTATCGACTATTTATTTTTAATTACTATTAAACGTGCCAAATAAATAAAGGTGCTGAGCGAAACTATTAGAAAGGAAAATTGAAGATGTCTTTCGTAATTTATTTATTATTCGATTTATCATCGTATTCGCTTGTAATCTTAATTAACATCGAATCGCGATGTTATTTCATTACATGCGAGAAGCTTTTACATCATTTTATTGACAGAAGTTTAATAATTTGTAGAATCACTTATGGGGATAACAAATGTATAATTAATGTCTAAATAGAAAAGAAAATTGATTTTTTATTAGCTTCAGACTTCTCCATTGACTCAAGTTTTTATTTAATAAATATTATACATAATTTTCGCTCAGTAATGTAACGATAATTGCATACTTTGTTAGAAATAATAAAAATGATTTGCTCATTCTAGAATAAATGGAAAAAATTCTACTCTACTGGTACTGGTATCAGGTAAACGTGCTACTCGTGACCAAATAATATTTATTCCTCTAACTCGTAGTATAAATGTTACTCATAAAAAATCTGTATATATGGTAGGCTAATTTTTAATCAAAACATAGGTTTCTGTTAATTTTGTAAATAATTAGTATCGTTATTGAAATGCACTAATTATTACCAAATCAAACATAAATAAAACGATTTTGTACGAATTCCATCCTGACTACCACCAATATCTTGAAAAGTGAGACTGTACAGTTATCAAATTTAAGTATACTAAGTTAATTAACAAAAAATACAGCCATATTAATCAACACAGTTACAAGCAAAAATTGTTTGAATTTTATTTAATAAAATGAACAAACTGCCGTTTTACTTAATACAAACGAGACATTATAATTTATATAGAAGGAAGGGTTCGAATATATAATATATATATATTATATTTTGTACAAATGCAACACTCGAATTCCGCGGCTACTCGTCTACCTTTTAAACAACCTTGAACACATCGCGTTGATTCGTTGGAACGAATGAAAGTACATTTCACCTGCAACATATTGCATAACCCATTTAGTGTTAATACGAAACCTCGAATCTTTCAGACGGATAAAATGCTACGTGCTCTTTTGCGCGTATTCGAAATTGACGACGCATAAATTAAGAGTAACCTCCCCTACTCTCGAACGTTATCGACGTGCATTAAAAGCTCGATAAAAGATATTTATTACTCAACTCAGTGGTCGCTTACTTTCACGAGGAACGTTTTAAAAAGGGAACTCTTCAGTTTGATGAAATTTAGGTGGATTAGAATTAAGAAACTGTTCTTTTTTTTAATTTTAACGAAATGTAAACAAAAATTAGAACATTTATTTTCCTTATATCTGAAAGCACTGGAATTTTAGAAAAGTGAAGTATTTGATTTAGACTAAATATTATATACTAATGTAAATAATTACAAAAATGATTGGCAGATTTTTTCCGAGAGTAAAATACAAAATAAATTGATTGACAAATATTTCAGATTTACTGATGATCATATAAAAGATTAGCGGAACTAGTAGTTTCTTATGAAGTATTTCCAAGTATTGAATAAATTACTGTTATCCTTTGGAATTTCAACGATGAAATTTAATTCCCATTTTAAAAAGTAGAACGCAAACGTATATACCTAACGAGCTCAAGGAGCAAAGTATTGGAAGCAAGAAATGCTCCATCGCCTTTCCTAACCGATAAAGCAGGTTTCTAATCGAAGAAAAAATTGTATGACACATTAGACAATATAGAGATACAAAATTATAACTAATTTCATTTTGTCGCGTTACTGTTCATGTATTATAAATTTCTTACTTATTAACAATAAATAGTATTATTTTTTTCTGCAGATGACCATTTCTATAAAATTGTTTATATTATGTATATTTTTATACTGTTAATAAATAAAAATTATCCCACTAGGAAGACTGAAACCAGTTCTATAAAAAAATAAATAAATAAAAGAAGAAAGTGCGGACTCGTAATTTGATATCGATATATCGCGAACATATTGGAAGGTAAATGATATTACTATATTTTTTTCTAGCACACATATATGACTTTCTCATGTCATATATGCTACGTGAGCAGCTCTTAATATCAAAAATGCTTTTCGAATGCGAATATCCGAGAGAAATGGTCTTTAATATCAATGACGCACATTTCGATAACCATCAGCGAAAGGAAGGGCATCCTTCCTACGTACTTCCGACGATGATTTTTTTGAAAGGAATTTGCGAGTCTGTGCTAAACGAGTCAGAAAAAAATAAAATTGACAAACGTCACTTATCCATCAATTGCTCAATTTTAACTGGACAGAGAAAGTCTGTCAAAATAATGTTTATTGGCAGTCAGGAGTCTACGTGACTGAAAGTTTTGCTTGTATTAGTTCAAGACAAAATTCGTTTTTAAGTAAGCAGAGTCTTCTTCGGTGTTTGACCAATCCTCTTATAGATATTATAGTTTATGTATTAAATACTTTTTATTTCTATCTGAAAATGTACATTATACTAATAAAACGATGAATTCAATTGTTTTCATCTTCTGGTACTTTATTACCATGGATATCGTAATTCTAATAGTAAAAGTGAAACGTTTCAAGATTGAAACAGTGCATTAAACGCACAGACTTTCAGATGATAAAGATCGCTGCCTAATCATTGTTCACAAAGTGTAAAATTCAAAGAGTTGCTAGTCAAAGCCGATGAATATTCACCAGAGTTCATTTTTCTGCAACAATTTTCATCTCAAAACAATTTCAATTTTTATAATATTATCATTCACAATCGCAAACATTGATCAATGAAACACGAAACTGAAATTCAATATTTAAACACTATATCGACCGAGAAATAAATATAATACTCAAACTATACATAAAGAATGAAATAAATTTAGATTTTAGAAAGTGAATGAATATTTCTCCTTTGATGAATTGATTTAGTTGAATTGACTTTAAGTTTTACAACTTATTATTATAAACTTGCCCCATCACGACGATATCGTATTATTCCCACAGCTTTCTTTTAATTACTATAAACATTGCTTTCCGAGCAAACCAGGGAAACAAACAATAATTTCCAGAGGCATATCCAATCATTTAACCACACTTAGTTAAACACTCGTTTTGCGACATGTAATTTTCAAAAATTGATTTCGAACAGAAAGAGTAACTAATCCTATACCGAGTGGCTGACATTGAGTCGGTACAACGGGACCGACGAGAACGTTGACGGTGATTTGAATACAATCCGGTACGCAGAAGCGGTGCAAACGTCCGATTTGGATGCACAAAAGCCACGATAGGTTGGGGCCCTGAATGGCACGCCGAGCGTAGACAAGAGAAAGTACACGGTCGAATATGGGGCCTCTTGGCTTACTCCATGAAAGCAAAGAGAAAGACTGCGACACATCGTGTGGAGACTTTTAATTCGCGCGCGCGAAGACAATATCCGGTCGAACATACCTAAATTCCTCTATCTACATTTCTTTCTAATCTGAGAAAACTATGGGCTCGATTGGTATGATTGAAGGCGCATTCTTCTAAAAAAAGTAGTCTCTATGGCCTGGCATAACCGTTTCTCTTTTAAATTAATGTTTTGTATTTTTTGAAGTATGGGCTCGACTCGCATGATTCAAGTCACAGTCTCTTAAAAAAAAAAAAAGTAGTCAGGCTATAGCCTAGCATAACTGTTTCTTTGTTAAATTGATTTGTTGAACTATGCGCCCGATTGGCATGATTCAAGTAACGTTCTTTTAAAAACAAAAACGAGTCTCTATACCTTGGCATAACTGTTTCTTTGTTACATTGATTTTTTTCTGATTCAATAATTACGTAACAATTTTCCGTGGAATTCAGAAATTTGGTGTCAAGGTCATATCACTTTCTTATTACCTGAGATTAGATTATGCCCATGGCTTGGAAGGTCCCTTAAAAAGGGTCTTTAGTAGGTCTCAAGCGTAGTATTGACGATCCTAGTTTTGGAGGAGGCCCATAATTTACGAGGCCTCTTATTTTGTCTGCTTTTTATACTTCTATCTTTAAAGTAAGTTATTCTTCGCCTACTATGGCCACAAGGTAGCTACTACGTCCATGATCTGGAGGGTCACTTGAAAAGGTCCTTAGTAAGCCCTAAGTGTAACATTGACAATCCTACTTTTGCACCTGTGTGGAGACCCTTAATTCGTGAACTTCCTACTCTGTTTGCTATTTCTATCTTTAAGACAGTACATTCTTTGCCTACTTTATCCAAGAGTTACCTCATGGCATGGAGAGTCCTTTAAAAACGTCCCTAGTAGGCCTCAAGTGTAACATCGCCGATCCTACTTTTTTCACCTGTGTAGAGTCCCCCAGCTCACCAAACCCCCTACTCCGTCTACTTTTGCTACTTCTATCCTTGAGCCAGTCTATCCTTTGCCTACTTTGTCCAAGAGTTACCTTATAGCATGGAGAGTCCTTTAAAAACGTCCCTAGTAGGCCCCAAGTGTAACATCGCCGATCATACTTTTTCACCTGTGTAGAGTCCCCCAATTCACCAAACCCCCTACTCCGTCTACTTTTGCTACTTAAATCCTCAAGATGATCTATTCTTCGCCTACTTTGGGGACAAGACAGCTACGTCCGTGGCCTGAGTGCGAATTTGTTCGCGTGGGGCAACGGAAGTGTGAAAAGAACGAGGACCGAGCGACGAATGGTATGGGGTCGCGACGCGGTTTCGTTTCGTGGTTCTCGAAGCCGTCATTGAAAGGAGTGTACCTGAGTACACCTCTCTCCCGGTTCTCACTCTCTGCACTCGCCGCTACGCGGTCGGATTCAAGCCGGTGCGCGAAACTGTTCACGGATACCGTAGGTCGACCGATACGATCGTCAATAAGGAACCGCGTACGCACGCGTGTCAGGGGGCTCGATGATTTTCGATGATCAACGCGTGTTCGCGGTGATCCTCCGTTACAGAAAAGCGGTCGTGAAACGCGGGAAAGTTTCGTGTGCCATGAGAAAGTGCAGTAAGTAGGATAAAGGCCGAAGGAAGAAGAGTGACCGTGAAAATTGCACGAGTGATCGGTGCCGGGTTCTGATTTCCGTGTGCTTCGGTGAAGAGACGTGGGAATTAAATGTGTGTAAGTTTTTGCACCTACTCCGTTCCGTTATTTATTAAAGTGTGTAACCGTATACAATGGTTATTACATTAAAAGTTCTTTTTAAGTAATATTAGGTTGGATCTAGACGAAATTTAGTGCAAAGAAGAATGATCACGAATGTATACAAATTAAAAGGGAAATATTATTATATTACCCATAAAAGATGTGGTACAGCTACGTATATGCCGTTATTAACCTAACCTTGTTAACCCATATGCTTCAGTTACATCATGCACGTATTCTCGATTCCTTTAAAATATCGAAACAATTAATTTTGTATTTAATGGTTATATAATTATTTAATTCTGAAAATCGCTTACAACTCATGACTCGAAAAATTAATAATAAAAACAGCTTGTTTAAAATAGACAGTGAGTTACCTATTCATTACATCGACAACCATTTTAATTAATTTGTATATATTACTCGTTACTTATAATAACTATTCTATCACTATTTAGCGTGTTAGTTAATCCTGCGTATGTTTTTACGATTGAAAAGTCATAAAACTTGACAAGAATTAATTAACTTCCTTTCTAATGAACGTTATACCTACTTATGCTAATTGACCTTAAGTTTCCTCGTACGATCAGTTCATGCCAATATCCAATTGACAGTGATTGTAAAGCATGTTAGCAGTCATCATCCGCTAATCGTCTTTCGTTTCTTTGCGTTCCCATTTCGTAATGTACCATCAATACGGAGAGAAAGTCGATAGTTTTATATAATGTTTTTGCGTTGACCCTTTTATCGCGAATTCGAGTTTCTCTCGACACAGCGTATACATAAAAATTGCATATGAATTTCATTAGCGTTCGTAACATAAGATCGTGGCTTGCTGTAATCTTTAGAAAAATATCGCAATACTTTTTAGCAAAAGATAAATTTAAAAAAAAAAAATAAGTGACATCTCATTGAAAGTACTTCTTTGTTTATGAGTAATAATACACTTTAAGAAAAAAATGAAATTATGTAAAATTTACGTCGAATGAACCGAAGAGTGACTCGAAATTAGTGAACGAGAACGTGTGAAAACTTTCCTGAGTATGTATTGTTAAATAAGATCTCGACGCTCGATTGTGTGCAAATGATTTGAACACAATGATCGAGATGGCGAAACGCAGTAATTAAAGACGTTACGTTTACAATGTGAAAATTTGCAAACTGTGTAAGAACACTGTGATTAGATTTCAGATAATCCTGCGTGGTCCTTAAAAACTTCAAGCGGCACATTTGATCTGTCGAATGGCACGTAATTGGAAGCAGTTGTCGCGGGATGGAATTGAACGGAAATGGCAATAGGTCTGACCACTCTGCTTAGTACTACTTCGATCCTCGGATTCAGCCTGATTCCCCTCTTAGCGATCAGCCTGACCGTGTTCCGATACAATCAAGCGGATCCAGAGTCTCACCCGACTAATGCTCGCCAGGTTGGTTGAAATTTTACTCTAATATCATAATATTTTTATTTAAAGTGATATTATTAAAGTTTGTAGAGCAGTATTTTTTCCTGACTAGTTCACACGATTAAACTGTGTGCATCGATTAGTCAATATCACAAATTAGAAGAAAATTCTGTTCTAAAAAGTCCATTAACTATATTTTTCTAAATAAAACCGTACAATATATTCTATCATATAATAATCACGGTATAAACACCATGAAATCTCCGTTGTTTAATAGCAGAAAGATCATTAATTACATTTACCCAATCCTTGTTATTGACAATTACACAATAAAGCAAAGATGAGTGTTTTAAATCAAACAAAACGAAATATATTTTCTCACTCAGGCGGAATTTAGATGCACCTCTAAAACACAACCTAACTGTTACCTGTGGTCGATACAACAGAGTATAGATCCTTCGTTGTGCCAACTTTTCCACAGCCCACATTTCGGAATTACTTTTCTTTCAAACTTCAAACTTCGTCTGAAACAAGCTCGAGAATAATTTACAGATCTGATACAACGATTTACGAGGACATTTGTCGTTTCAGCTTCTGCGAACGTACGATTTCATAGTGGTCGGAGGTGGGAGCGCAGGTGCAGTGGTCGCATCGAGGCTATCCGAGGTGTCGAATTGGACAGTTCTACTTTTGGAAGCTGGCAGCGACGAAAATGAAATCTCAGACGTTCCTCTGCTGGCTGGGTACACCCAGCTCTCGGAGTTCGACTGGAAATACCAAACTTCACCACCGACCGCGTCCGCGTACTGTCTTGCTATGCTCGGCGACAGGTGCAACTGGCCTCGTGGAAAGGTCCTCGGTGGCAGCAGTGTGTTGAACGCTATGATTTACGTTCGGGGTAATCGGTAATTCGAATTCGATATTCTCTACTTCTTCGACGTAATCGTGGTTGACAGCAAGATACCTTCAGCAAAGTTTAACCCATTGGATTCCTAATTTTTAAACTAACGTAGCGATTTACAAGCTGGCGAGGTGCTAAGATAGTTTGGCGAACACTAACAATTATAGACTTTACACAGAATCTATAATTTACAGTTGTAGAATTGATGAAACATAAATTATAATTATAGAATTTATAGAGAATGTATAAATTCCAATTGTAAAATTTATGAAGAATTTATGAGATACAGTTACAGAATTGATGAAGCATAAATTCCAATTATAGAATTTATAAAGAATTCATAATTTGCAATTGCAGAAAATAATTTTTGTATCGACAAATACATGCAAGTATGAAAACGTCAATAATGGAGATAGCCAACCCAACGAGACTAACATTCCAATAAGAAAAATATATTAGGTTGTCCCGAAAGTTTCTTTCGCGAGTTGCACTCAATTATTTGATGTGGCCGTGTTTCTATAAATAGACAATCTAATTTCATAGATATTCATGTTGTGACAGTAATGGAGCAAAATGAATCGTGCACAATTCAGTAATGTAACATAAAACATAAAATATTGTGCACGTATTACTTCGTAATAAAGCGAAAGAATGTTTTGAGACAACCTACTACAAAGTATTTCTTTTTTTCATGAAGTTCAAAACATTGATAAAATGTTTCAAACGTTTTCAAATTAGATATTTGTAAATGACATTATTCTACTAAATGATTAAATTAAATTATTTGGCCGCAACATTGACAATTTTAAATTACTTTCACATCTGTGTGTGCAGAAGTTTATGCCTTTTGTGATTTATGATCAGGCGATGAGTATTACATCTGCCTTTTCACACGAAGTAACATAAAACATAAACTATTGTCCATGTATTACTTAGTAATAAAGCGAAAGAAACTTCTAGGACAACCTAATACCTGCCTACCTATAGACAGTCCTATCAGTTCCTTCCATCTTCAACTTCCTCTTTACGTCATCCCTAAAACAACTCTGACTAATTTCAACACATCTCATCACCAAACCTTTATCAGCTTTACCCGCTTCTGATCCTCCAAATAATTTCAGCCGCGACTACGACAACTGGGCGAGTCTAGGCAACCCAGGATGGAGCTACGACGAGGTCCTCCCCTACTTCCTCAAGTCCGAAGACAATCGCAACCCCTACCTAGCTAGAACGCCGTACCATGCCACTGGCGGTTACCTAACAGTCCAGGAGGCACCATGGAGGACACCCTTATCGATAGCGTTTCTGCAAGCTGGTCAGGAGCTAGGCTACGAGATCCGCGACATAAACGGAGCGCAACAGACAGGCTTCATGCTAACCCAGGCGACGATACGTCGCGGCAGTCGTTGCTCCACGGCAAAGGCCTTCTTGAGGCCGGTGAAGAACAGGGAGAACCTACACATAGCCATGAACTCGCAAGCCCTGAGAGTGTTGTTCAACGACGACAAGAGAGCCACCGGGGTCGAGATCCTTCGCGACGGCCACCAGCAGACGGTACGAGTCAGACGAGAGATCGTTTTATCAGCTGGTGCGATCAATTCCCCTCAGCTACTGATGCTATCAGGGATAGGGCCTAGGGAACACTTGGCGGAGTTCAACATCCCGGTGATATCGGATCTGCGTGTCGGAGACAATCTCCAAGATCACGTTGGCTTAGGAGGATTGACGTTCATCGTCAACGAACCCATCAGTCTGAAAAAGGAACGTTTCCAAACCATGCGTGTGATGATGGAGTACGTGTTAAACGAGAGAGGTCCGATGACCAGTCCCGGGGTCGAAGGTCTAGCATTCGTCAACTCCAAATATGCTGACACGTCTGTCGACTGGCCCGACGTTCAGTTTCACTTCGCCCCTAGTTCGATTAATTCCGACGGTGGCGACCAGATCAAGAAGATCACAGGACTCAGGGACAGGGTGTACAACACCATGTACAAACCTCTGAATCAGGCCGAGACCTGGTCCATATTGCCACTACTGCTGAGACCAAAGAGCTCTGGCTGGGTGCGTTTAAAGAGCAGGAATCCTCTCGTGTACCCTGACATCAATCCAAATTATTTCACGCACAAGGAGGACATGGACGTCCTGGTGGAGGGTATCAGGATCGCCATGCAGGTGTCCAACACCACCGCTTTCCAGCGATTCGGTTCCAGGCCGCATACTATACGGATGCCTGGCTGCCATCGCTATCCTTTTGACACTTACGAGTACTGGGAGTGCGCGATACGACATTTCACTTTCACCATTTATCATCCATCTGGTACGTGCAAAATGGGACCCAAGAGTGATCCAACAGCGGTCGTGGATTCGAGGTTGAGGGTTTACGGGGTGAAGGGACTGAGGGTGGCTGACGCGTCGATCATGCCTGCCATTGTCAGCGGGAATCCCAATGCTCCTACGATTATGATAGGGGAAAAGATGAGCGATATCATCAAGGAGGACTGGCGGGTGAGGAAACGATACGTGGGAGGACGATGAGTGATCGTGGCATTGTTGATCGAGATGAAAGTGTTTGTTGCGTATCGGTGCTTTCTAGAACTTTTAATGCGAAATGGCACACTTTCACGACGAATACGACGAGTGTGATATGGAAAGTACGAATTTTTATGGAAATTACATTTTTACAGATATATACGGTCAATCCCAATTGTATTCGCGCTCTCTATTACTATTGAAGAAGTTTGGTTAAATTAAATAATAGTTTCGATATTACCAAATGGATTTTTCATAGTAAATATGTATATGAATAAGCTTATACGTGTACATATTTAT